GTGTCAACAAATTGTCAACTCTTTCCTTTTTTTTTTAATGGGCTAATCCAACCCAAGAAGGGTCCTCGGCCCAAAAGAGTGGCCCAAGTAGAGTAGTTCCTTTTTTGGTTTGGCCCAATAAGGATTCTCGACCCATTAAAGCTTAGCAAAGGGTTTTTGGTTCAAAGGGCCCAAAAATAATAATTTCAGGCCCAACTAAGGTTCTAGTATATGTTATTGGCCCAAAAAGGCCCGTTAGAGGAGTTTTCTTGTACAAGGGCCAACTTCCTAACCCAAATTTGCTAGTTGTGACACTTGACCGAACCACGTAAATACTATATCTTTGTGTCCTTTTGGTTTCGAGTGTTATCCGCATTACTTCCTAACGTACAAGGGTCATCATAACTTGGCAAATGGCATAACATTTGTTCTGAGTCTTCACAAGTATCGTCTTATATATATATATATAGATATATATATATATATATATATATATATATATATATATATATATAATAAGAGGGAGGGAGGGAGGGGAGAGAGAGAGAGAGAGAGAGAGAGAGAGGTAGGTTCCAATGAATTTTCGAAAAAATAGAGATATTAAGATTCAACTCCAGCCACATATCTCATTTTCCGCTCTAGTGTTCCGGCGTAGTAACGCAGCGAGAGAGTTATATTCATGAATGAGTACGTAACGATGCCCGTTCTCCATCCTCTACCCCCCCCCCCGGCACCTTCCCCACCGCTACCACCATCTACGCCACCCCTGCCACCTTTGTCACCTCTAGCAGCACTACCTCCTCCGCCACCAAGCATCATCTTCACATATGATTAATCAATTTGTGAATAGACATATGTATATATTCATTTATGATTTGACATGTATGTATAAATATGTATAATCATATAGGATTATACGTCTCCGACATATAATCATTGATAATTAGGCATATCACGTTGCACCGGTACATTGGAGTGTTGGAGTGGCAGATGAGAAATATGTAGCTGATGTTGAATCTCAAAATCTTTATTTTTTGTATAATCTCAATGGAATCATTCTCTTTCTCTATCTCTTTCTCTCTCTCTCTCTCTCTCTCTCTCTCTCTCTCTTTCTCTCTCTCTCTGTAACATCCCCCTCTGGCACGTATCACAATATTGTTCGCTTTGGGCCACTCGACACGAGGACTTCCCAGGGGTCACCCATCCTGGTACTACTCCCGCCCGAGCACGCTTAACTGCGGAGTTCTTATGGGATCTGCTGCCCTCACGACTTTAAAATGCGTTGTGACAAGGAAGGTATCCACACCCCTTATAAGGAAATGTTCCGTTCTCCTTCCAAGTCGATGTGGGATCACGTACAACCCACCTTCACCCCCCATTATAGAGTTCAATGTCCCCGTCAAACACATCGACCCGTGCCCCAGCTCTGATACCATTTGTAACATCCCCCTCTGGCATGTATCACAATATTGTTCGCATTGGGCCACTCCGCGCGAGGACTTCCCAGGAGGTCACCCATCCCGGTACTACTCCCGCCCGAGCACGCTTAACTGCAGAGTTCTTATGGGATCTGCTGCCCTCACGACTTTAAAACGCGTTGTGACAAAAAAGGTATCCACACCCCTTATAAGGAAATGTTTCGTTCTCCTTCCAAGCCGATGTGGGATCAGGTACAACCCACCTTCACATGTAATGCCCGTATTTCTAGGCTAGGCATTAAAGATGATGTAATAGTCTAGGCCAACCTTTGTAATTTGTTTTGAAATAATAAGATTTATTATTTGAGTATTATGTGTTTTATGCTTAATTATTATAATTTAATGAATTAAGGATAAAAATAAGCGTCGAAAATAAATGTTAGATAAAGCCGATATATATGAAGAAAGTTGTAGTGGTTGAAACAAGGATTCCGAAAGATATAAAGAATACCGAAATCCGAGTTACAACGAAGAAGTTATGGCCTGTCAAAGTTTCGCGATAGAACCGACACGACATTGTATGACGTAAAAAGTGAATTTATGATAGAACGATTTTTAGCCTTAGCGATCTAAATGAAAGTCTTAGTGTCCGTTAAACCGAGAGCGTGCATAAAAAGAACGCCCAAATCTGACTTCGTATGAGGAAGTTATGATTTTTCTAAGTTTCAGCTTAGCAGTAGACAGCTAAAAACTCGAATTTTAGATCAAGTGATTTTTAGCCGACACAACCTAAACAAGAATTGAAGGTCTCGTCAAATGTAGTACAACAGTAAAAAGACAGACGAAAACGGACGTCTGATGAAGAAGTTATGAATTTTTAACGGACTTTTCTTGTCCCGACCTGTTAAAAAATATAATAATAAAAATGAAGTCAAAATTAGCCGACGGGGTCTAAACGAAAGTTGTAGAGCATAATCTCACCTACGCGTAGATATAAAGAACGTCAAAAACAGAGCACATATGCGAAAGATATGCATTTCTAAAGTTCGGAGCACAAACTTCGAGACCTGACTGAACTCACGACGTGAACAAGAGGTTCACGACGTGAATTAGTGGATCGACACCTATCAAGCCTAGAAGACACACGGCAAACCTACGAGCTGATCAGGTTCAAAGTCACGACATGAACATACATGGTTCACGACGTGAATGATGAATTTTTATCCTATAAATACCAAGCAAGACCTCCGAGTTTTTGTTTACAAAATCTATTCTCTCTCACTCTCTACTTCTTCTCTAGCTACTTTTAACCCCCCCCCCCCCCCGAGGTCTCGGTATCATCCTCGACACCCGAAGCAAGTCCCGACGCTCCGAAATTTCCGAGAAAATCATATTTTCAAGACGAAACTTTGCCCGCTTGAAGCCCGATTTTTGGGAAAACACACCGGTTTTATCGAAAACGATCATTTTAAGAAACGAAGTGCTGCTCGATTATCGTTAAATCAAGTGAGTGTGTAGTCACTTTCATCTTACACATAGATATGAAGTATTTTCTATAAAATACGTGCTATGTGTAATTATATTGTTTGTTTATTTGAGATGAGTGTTGAATAAATGTTTTATACAAGTTTTAAACTGTATATGTATTTTTTTATCTACAAATATGTTGGGTAAAACATGGGTAGATGAAATAGTTGATGTGTGTTAAAATGATGAGAGGCGTCGATGTTGCTGTTCTTGTTGTTGTGGTCGTCTAGCAGAGTATAAATGACGACCACGGACCTTTCTAGACAGTCCAGTGGAACGCTAGCAGGTTCGCAACTTGTAGGTGTTGGTGAACTATATGTTCATTGGTGTACTCCATCCCCCTCGTGGTTGCCTTAAGGACATGTATGGTTGGGGAATCCCCTTAGCAGTAGTGTCCATCCCGATGATGATCCTTAGGCTAGGTCCCTTATGATAGGTGTTTAGGGACGCAAAGTGAGGATAACGGGAACGGGTAATCAGGGATATTGTTGGTTGATTAAATTAATAAATTTATTTTTGGTTGATGAATTTAATAAATTTATTATTATTTGTGGGTTGAAAACCCTATATGCTCACCAGGCTTCCAAGTCTGACCCACTCAGCTTTTTATATCACAGGTAGTGGACCCAGAGCATAGTTGGATGACAACGAGAGATTTTTGGATTATAGGCCAGTAGTTATAAATAATTGTTGTAAAGCTTATAATGTATTGTTTATGCTTTTGGTCTGTTTCAGAACATGACATCCCAAGGTTTAGATATATAATGAAAATATATATTTCTTTAAGAAATGTTTTGATAAATTTTTATCATGTTTTGTTTTGGGAACAAATTCCGCAAAATCTTTTAAAAAGATTACTCTGATTTTATTTTAAAAGCATAAACAAAATCGGTCTTTTCTGGCCGAGAAATTTGGAGATGTCATATACTCTCTCTCTCTCTCTCTCTCTCTCTCTCTCTCTCTCTCTCTCTCTCTCTCTCTCTCTCTCTCTCTCTCTATATATATATATATATATATATATATATATATATATATATATAGAATAGAATAGAATATCGATTGAATATACATTAAATAATTTTTTCAATCATCAATCATAGTAGGTTGATAACTTTTAGGTTAATTGTGAAGATTTTAAGATAAAACTAGTAAATGAATGTATTAAATAATGAAATGAAAGATTAGACATAAAACAATGTAAAAACAGATAGAAATAACAAGAAAAGTAAATCTTTAGATAATAAAAATATTCGTAATTATATTCGATATACTGTATATGTAGATATTGAAAGTTTAAAACACAAGATATTCAAATATTAAACTTTGTAATTAAATCAATAGGTTAACTGTGTACGTACCTATTAACTTTTAACTCCGGTGACTCTTTCTAGTTTACAATGTGCATCTAGAAAAATAGAATTTAGTCTGGTTCATATAAACATAACGTTACATAAGTTGTAAGTAACAGTAAAAACGTAGATTGAAAGAATATTTTTCTCTCTGATAGGTATAGTAGCATATTTGTGAACTCCACTTCTTTTTCCAACCACCATCCATCATCTCCCAAGCTTACTGTCAACCTCTTTTCATTTCCACAAAAGCCCTAATTTCAAACCTTTTTTTTGGACGATTGCACCATCAATTATCCATACCCTCCTTCTTTCTCTCTCTAGTACTTGCACTTGCATACCCTTTTCTAGGTAAAAAGAAAGAGAAATAACTGCTCATTTCTGCCAATCTTTCATTTAACACTTTCTTATTGACAAAACTACAAAACCCAAAACCAAGTCACTGCAGTTGATCTTCTCTAGCTTGTTTTTTCTAGCGTAAAGATTCATTCTTCATAAACTCTGATTCTTGATCTACACCCTCATGCGATCTTCTTTATCTTACTTCGTTTATCACTTCGAGATTCTTGTTGAAACCCTAAAGTACCATCCAGACCTAAAATTAGGGTTTCTTTTTTCTTGAATACCTATTGTTTTCTGGTGAAATCCTAGATTGGATTTAGCTGGATCTATCTTTTTTATTGTAGTCAATTATATATTAAAGATGGAAAAATATCACTCTTTTACAATGGATGTAGCTCAAGTACAAGATGTTGACTCGATCATCACTACGAACTTTAACACAAATATGTTGAGCACAACAGCCTCTTCATCCTCGTCAACTTCTTCTTCCCCGGCCACCACACTCAGCCGCTACGAGAACCAAAAACGCCGTGACTGGAACACTTTTGGACAGTACCTACGTAACCACCGTCCGCCGTTAACACTTTCCCGGTGCAGCGGTGCACATGTTCTTGAATTCCTCCGGTACCTTGACCAGTTTGGCAAGACAAAAGTCCATACCCAACTTTGTCCGTTCTTCGGCCATCCCAATCCACCAGCACCTTGCCCCTGCCCCCTCCGTCAGGCATGGGGCAGCCTTGATGCACTCATCGGCCGTCTCCGGGCAGCGTATGAGGAGAACGGAGGGAAGCCGGAGACTAACCCATTTGGAGCTCGTGCTGTCAGGCTTTATTTACGTGAAGTTAGAGATTCTCAAGCTAAAGCAAGAGGGATAAGCTATGAAAAAAAGAAGAGAAAACGGCCGCCGCAGCTGCCACAGTCGCTGCAGCCGCCTGCTCCACTTTCTTGATCAAGTTAGCTGCTTTCTAGTCCGAAAAGAATTCTACCCAATTAAATAACCCATCGTCATATGAATGGGTATATATTAACTTTAAACTCTTTCAATTTCTTGAATTGTATGTCCCTAAATTATCATGCCTGTGGTATTACTGTTGTTATTAGACGATTCACATAATTGCCACTGTTGATGACAGAAAAAAAAATGAGATAAGAAAAGGTAAGAAGCAGTGATTTCAGTGGTTGTTAAATTGCTACTGCTGGCTCTAATTCTGTATACAGCCTTCTAAATCAAACACCCGTGTGTGACTTCGTTAGTTTTCGATGATCAAAGGTTTGTAATGAAGGCAATGATGGTAATTATTTAAAGTATAAGTTTGTGATTTTTAAGAATTTCTTCTAACGTTTGGGGGTTTTCATTCTGATAAGTACCAGAAATTCTGTCAATGACACCCCTGGCAAGATAAAAACTAAATAAAATATATATTTAATGTTATTTATTTTATAGAAAGTATAGTTATTTCAGTCTTCACAGAAGAATCAAAATATTTGTTCGGAAATTAATAGTTTTTATTACTATGTAATTATTGATAAATTAACATACATGTTTGTGACATTGATATAGATGCCTGATATGAAAAGTATTTAAAAGAAATGTAACTACGTACTTAACGTTATAGGCAGAGTTCTATGTACATGTACTTGTAAGAAAGTCATTCTCATTTAGAAATGATGTCGATTTAACGTGTCATGCATGTGACCATGATAATGAAATTCAACTGTGAATGTAATAATGTTATATTTTCATATAAATTGTTTTAGAAGTCTTAAATGATACAATAATGTGATGCGTAGATTTTTTAAGGCTGATCGTCTATGCTTAATTAGATTTCTACCAAATCATTTTAGTTGGAATTAACTGATACAAATTTATAATAATACTCCAAAGATAATAATATTAGATGTTTTCTTCTCTTTTCATGTCATATTGACATGATATAACAATTTTATTAATTCTGCATTATAATAACATCTTGTTTTTGTTCATTTGTGTTTATTTTAGTATGTTAAACCAAATTCGTGTTTGTAAATGATATCTTGTTATTTGAAGAAGTTAATCAATTTTGTTGTCAATGATCTCTTGTAATTAATGTATTTAACCAGTTGTAATTTGCTTCTAATGTTTCAAGAATTTTTTTTATTAATTCATCTTATATATAATCTCAGTTATATATTTGTTTTCACTATAGTAATGTACTTTTAAGAAAATGTTTAACCAAAGCAGTTAATCTATGTCATGATTTAAAAAAATTCTCAATTCAATGAATTCATCATTCCACTATTTTAACTTCTAAACAAGTGACATCTCTAATGGTTGATTTTTTTCAATAGATTTAAAAAAAGTATAACTAATCTATCGTCATTTTAGAAATCTATCTAAAATGTTTTATAAAACTCTCTTATTTAAATAATCATTTTTTAAACATATATTATATGTAAAATATCACACACAAACAAAAATATAAAGACAATAATGTCGAATCTTTATTTTATATCTATAAAATATGACAAATCAATACGTCATAAAAAGAACTACAACACTCTAATATCTGAAAGAAATAGTTGAACGGAAAAAAAAAATATTGGTTTGAACTAAAAGCAAGTATGAGGATTAAGGTGTTGAAAAGATAAAAACGATTTGGATTATTTCCCTATGTTTCAATTTATATACACATCTTTTTTCCATCTTTTTTTTTGTTTTTATAAATTTGTTGAAGATGTATACTTTTAGTTTGAAATATATATGTTTGGAATAATATGGTAACACGAAGTGATGTCCAAATTTAATGTAATACAAAAGAAATACAAATAAATAAAAGTAGATTATTATAGAATCATCATTATTAGGTAGTGTCTTTTCCTTAAGATTCTAAGTATTAGTTGATAATACATGCATCTCATACATCCATATGTTTACCGTGTCTTTCATTTAGACGAATGAAGATTAGACTTGAGTAGAATGCGAAAATTCATAAAACAAATGAAAGCTTAATCTTAAAGAATAGTCTTTAACATAATAATGGAATTAATATATACGTACAACAACATATTGTCATGAAATCGTAACATCTAAATGAGAATCGATTTCTGTTTTTTGATTATTTCGATATGTTAACAAATTCAAACTCTCTATAAATATGTTTATCTAAAGTAATAAGAAAATAAATGAACATTTATATATATATATATATAATATATATATATATATATATATATATATATATATATATATATTAGGTTACAACCCGTGGAAACTACGGGTAACAGATTTATAAAATTTTATGAAATTTCAAAGATTTAAGTTTTTTAGACATTTGTACTGATTATTTAAAATTACACCCATCATTCACTTCATATGAGATTTTGTACCTTTACCTATCATCATTCTTTTTATCCACATTGACCAAAGGATGCATCCATACAAAAATAAAAATAAAAAGAAAATAAGGATCCATTGTTAACTTATAGACCACAAAAACTAAAGCACAAGTGAATGAAACTTTTTTTTACATTATAAACTTTTAATTGTTTGAAATATTGAGTTTTCAGAATTATCCTCTGTTGATTATTCATTTGACAAACTAACCACCACTTCAAACCATTTTTTCAAGCACAAGAATCTCACATCTCCATCTTTGGTTCCTTTGCAAATAATCGAAACATTTGGAAGTATTTTGTAGAAAAGAACTCAAGTGGTTTCCTTCAATAAAAGATGTTTCTTCTTTGATTGTTTCAAGCTCATGTTAAGGGTTACCAGAAAATCATCCCTTCCCTGAAATTCAATGATAATATTGAGTTATTTGCTGACAAAATGTTATAGATTGGAAGAATAAAGAATGTTTGCTCAAATGTGAAAATGTAAATGTTGAAAAACAATAATTGTAACACCTGTTTCTTTTTTAAAAAAAAAAGTAATAATTTTTGAAGTTTTAATAATATCATACCATGTTTACGAAAACCAGTTTATCAAAACCCCCAACTTTTGTTTCCAAAGCATACAAACATTTAAATATCAATATATTATATATTTTTCATTTTGTCTTTTATACCGTTGACAATTTTACGTCTTTTCAAAATTAAGGTAATTTCCATTTTTCTCAACCAAAACTTCTTGTATTTTGGTTAAAAGCTTATATCTCACATTTTATTAACTTACTCTAAGTTAATTTATTCGGCTTATTAAGAAATTTCAAATTTTTCAAAAAGTCAACAAAAGTCAAGCTGTTCACTTTTTAACGGCACCAAAAGTTAGCATATAGCCAACTTTAAACTCTCGTATCTTGTTCATACGATATACATATGAGTTGAATCAACTTGCTGCACCTTCCTCTCATTCCGGACTAAATTTTTGGCTCAATAATGAAATGATTTGGATATGTATAAGTCAAGTTATGCAACCCTAAAGATGGCACCTACATACTTTAAATTTCCAGACTTCAAAAATTTTCTGCATTCCAGCTTTGTGCAGAATTTTAGTCAACTTTAAACACACATAATTCTCTCAAATTAAGTCGGATTGGTTTGATTTGTTTTTCCTATGCTTTATTTGTTGTTTTGACGACAATTTAAAGCAAAGAATCACCTGCCTTCCTAAATTAAAATTAAGTTATACAACCTCAAACATGGGTTGTTGGATTTATTTAACTAAATTTTTGCATTTATTTTCATTTTGTTCAAAGATGGAATTAATGATTCCATTCCAACCTTCTTTGCATTTCACATATTGGTAACATACTTTCAAGTTGTATTTTCTTTGTAATTATAAAGATATACTTAATTACATCTGACAAATTTCCAACATTTCTAGCATTACTTACTTATGTATTCAAGTTAGCATAATTATTTTTCATCAAATAATCCTAATCTCAATTTCATGTCATAGTTCAAGCAAGCTAGAACACCCACCTGTAAAATCCTAGATAAATAAAAAGGTTAAATGCATACCTTATTCCAAAAACAATATCACTTGAAGGATATAAATGTACCTTCAAGGCTTCAAGAATCCAAGCATATAAGTTCATGAATTCTAGATTCCAAGAAAATATGCTCACAAAATATTTCATTTCTTCTTAACATATTTTTTGATCCAGGAGACACAAAATCAAATTAGTTTACAACTAAAATAAAATAGTTCACCTTTTGAAAAATCACCTTTATAACAATGGTAATCGAAAACAATAAAAATGAAAGTGAATCAAAGAATATGACAATAAAATATTTTCAAATAATACCAAAACCAAAGAAAAAAAACAACCACTACCCACCATACATATTTGATATTTCATTCAAGCATTCTAGCAAACACTTGGCAGGCAAAAGATGCAAGGCTTTATTCGGGCACTTCTCCATCACTGAAGTCGCACAACAATTCATCAACGTTGCAGCTTCTAGTTTGGAATACATTCAAGTAAGCCTAATGGATCAAAAACGTGTGACAGCAGAAAGAAGAAAATAGAAATAGAAGAGGCAGTAGTCGAACTAAAACGTTTTGCTTCTCGAATAAGTAAAAAAAAAGTTAAATTTAGCTGGAAAAAATCAATAACAATATCAAGTGTTATTACCTGCATCTATCTATTGATGATGTTTTCGACTTCCTCTAATCAAATGACTTGCTATTCTCCTCAAACTGGATGCATATTGTGTCGCCATTCTCCTCGAATTGAAATTTTAAATATGAAGCTAAAAGTTGAAACAAATTTTGAAATCATTCAATCATTCAAATAGACATAAACGTGTGCGTAAATTGGGGGTTATTCATGGAAACTGTAATCAGAAGAGGGGAGATATTCATGGGATAAAATAGAGTCTTTTAAAGGGCATAAATTTGAGTTTAATAGTTTCTGCTTTCAAAAAATTTCCAGAAATAATTCCTGAATATAAGGGATTGCACTATTATTATGGAATTCAAATTAAATACATAAATTTGGGAAGGGTTTAAATTTTGATTTTGAT